CATGCAAGATAAGTAAGGCTTTTTAATCTGGTCTCCAAGCTCCAGGAAATAAAGGGGATGATGCAGCAGAGATCAGGTGAGGAGTGTCCAGGGTTGAACTAAGTGCCACCAAAATCGATAATAACCCCACCATCTCAAATAAAGAGTGCAATCGAACCAATACATGAAGTCTACACAGTACAGTACGTCTAATCAAATCATTAATGTGAAGCCAATGTTGTTCTTGCACATGAATAGTCTGCGTTCCTCTCATCAATTGTGGTTTCCTCCGATTCCCACCATTACATTGCAGGTCTAGCTGATATTTTCTCTAAGGCATACTTGTACAATCTTCACCCGGCTTTGTGCTCTTTAGGGTAACCGTAAACTGATGTGCAAATCTAGTAAAATAGTATTATTATTTAGCACTCATTTCTCAGGAATGTAAAGGTGCTCTGCGAAACAAAGGTTGCTTTTCTGACAAAGTTCTTCTCATAAAGGACTTTGGATATTTGTCATGGTTAAAGGGTATCCTCGCTCACATATCCAGGTTAAAAGCTCTCATGAGTAAATCCAGGTCTCCTATGTTAGCAGCTTGAAAGAGCTCCGGCTGGTCCAGCATGGACAGCGCTATCCGCAGGGCCGCCCAGATGCTTCCAGACATGACCTGGTGCGAAAGCTGCCGACTCCTGCTCTTCCTCTGCAGGCTAAGTGCCGTCAGGAAATTACTGGCTGCCTCCCTGCAATAAATAAGCAATTAAATAAATAAAAAGGGTCTCTTTACATATATGGGCACTTTTGTTCCTGTGGTCATTCAGAAAATATTTTCCCCACACATTTTTAATGGTTTATTTATTTGTCCTTCTACAACAGTGAACATATTATGCACATAAGAATTCAGTTATTTTTGTAAAAAAAAAAAATTAGATGTAGTTAATGAGTTTTTTTTATTTATTATATATTATGTTTAATAGCATTTATTATGAACATTGTACACATTTTTTGCAATAAAATGGCAGACTCATTTGGCTTGCCAAGGCAAATTTTATAGCTTAAATTGTATGCATTTTAAATACTCAAAATTAAATATTTTCACATATTTTGACAAATTTGACTGGAAATCATGAACACTAAAAATTTGTTTACAAGTGATATTTACCCATTTTTTTATATTTTACCTGCTGTTTACCTATATTTTCTTCTATGAAACAAAGTCAGGTCAGATTTTTTGATTAAAGAAGAAGTTCTTTGTGTAGAACTATCTAATATCTGTGTAGTAGAACTGTAGAACTTTGGTGAGCAAGAGACTTTTTATCCTTAGAATCCTAATTTTGACCGTCTATCTATCTATCTATCTATCTATCTATCTATCTATCTATCTATCTATCTATCTATCTATCTATCTATCTATCTATCTATCTATCTATCTATCTATCTATCTATATGACTTGTACAAAAGTATAACTTTCAAACTTCAGGCTCATCAAGTATTTTCGTAACTAAATCATAATTAATAATACTTTTATAATGGAGTTTCTTATTTTAAAGATTAAAAAGCTAAGTGTGGGCCAAGAGAAAAATAATAAAATATGCATAAATGCATTTGAAAAGCAGCTCAAATCAATTCTGAAGGCATTTAATGTGACCCTCATAACAAACAAAAAACTGGGACACAAAAGCACCAGCAGTTGAAGAAACACCCATAAATCAAGGAATAAATGCATCCTTATTATGCTGCATTTATTCCAACAGAACCTCAGGATCAAAGTATTTAAACAAAAAGTTGGGGGATATATCTTCCATAATTTTCAGGTCAAGCCCAACTCTCTGTCACAAACCTGTGAGCGCCCATGTTAATGCAGCTGATGCCGAGGTTGTAGCGTGAGCGGATGAAGCCGGGCTGCAGCTCCAGGGCTCTGGTATAGGCCTCCACAGCCTCCTCACTGCGATCTCCATTAGCCAGCGTCGCCCCCAGCCGATTCCACAGCAGGTAGTCCTGTACACACCAACGGCAAAAAGAATCCCCTCCTGCTCAGTGTCATGGATCAAAATAATTATCGCTCTGCGCTTCAAAGATTATGCAGTTACATGCGACTGATTGTTAATACCATTAAGATATGATCTGCTCTCTTTCTTTTAGGGATAAAATATGACCTTTAAGTACAGTGACACTGCATAAAACAGAGGTACAAATAAGTTGCCTAGTTCCTAATGTCACAAGGAGCCTGGTATCAGAGTTTCACTTTGCCATTATCTTTCATCGTATTCACGCTCTGAGCCCCCAGCAGGCAAGCAGACATTACCAAGTCAAGCAGATGGGGAGGATTTTCGATTGAGTGTAAATGCAGTCTACACAGGGGGACAGAATTTGGCTTAGCAAGCATCAATCGTCGACAAGGTGACCCACAGGGTTCTGGAGTCAGCGCTCATGAATGGTAAAGCTCCCCTCAAGTTTTAGATGAACTGTTTCAAAGATTTCGGAGACACTTTTTAAGCCCCCGTGACTTTTTCTCCCTCTCTCCTTTGCCCTCTGCCTTTAGGGAGTGTTTCTGTGTGATTTAGCCCCAGTTTGTCAGTCGAGTACACTGAGAAGGGATTTACCTCCGGCCGCACTGACAGCGCTGCGTTGAAGGCTTCCACTGCTTTGTTGAACTCGGAGCTGAGGTTATACAGCACTCCCAACCCTGTCTGCAGGTCTGGGTCGATCGTGTCCGAGTTGTGCTGGGCAGCTTCCAGGTACAGCTCCTTCACCTCGGGCAGCAGGGGGCTGGAGATAAAAGGGAGAGAGCGCAGAGACTCAGAGGCATTGTCCTTCAGGGACGTCCCTACCAGAAACATCATCAAAATGTGTCATTTAATAGCTAAGAAAAAGAGAAAGGGGGTCTCTAGAGAGAGATTTATGTTGTTGGTACCAAAAAATATTTCATTTAGGAGGGATTGAAGTGCTACATGCAGGAGAAAGTAGGGATTTTTGCAACACTGAGTGCAGTTGTAAACCTGTCACTTTAGCAAGGTGACCAGACGTGCCACTTCCCAGGGACACGTTTTGCACAGGATTTCTAAATTGCTTAAAATAACCAGGTTTTGAAACCGCCAGAGCGATTCGAAAGCATGGAGACGCTCTATAGCTCTCACGGTGCTTTGATGTCATACAACGATCAATTGTCGCAGCGCAAGCAACCAACACCTGATTATTTTAGGTAATTTAGAAATAATCTGCTGAATGTGTCCCCGGGAAGTGGCACGTCACAAAAAAATTAAGTTGAGAAAATCTTTAAAATAAATGACCATCATCCCCCTGACGTGACAGTAAAAGTTAAAAGACTCTGTGTACGATTATAAAGGTTTGCAGGACATTATTATTATTTTTTTTTTTTCCAAAGTTTGATGTAGAACAATTGTTTTATTGTTTGATGTTTTAGAATAAAAAGTTTACTTTTTAACTTTTTTAATTTAAAAGGAGTGGAGTTTGGGGAAGGGATTAATGGGGGTTGGTTGGTATAAAAAAATTAAGGTTATTAATATAAAATAATTATCATATTAATAATTGAGCATTAATAGTAATTTTCGAATGTTTTCTGAAGTATTGTGTAACACAAAAGAATGAAGTAATGGCTGTTGAAAATTCAACTTGGCAGTCACAGGAATAAATTAAATGTTAAAATATATGAAAATAGAAATGGGTAAAATCTATCTATCTATCTATCTATCTATCTATCTATCTATCTATCTATCTATCTATCTATCTATCTATCTATCTATCTAAAAATGACCAAAACTTGAAGCCAGTTCTAAATTGGTTAGCATAATTTGTTTTCAAACTACTTGTTTGTTAATATTTTGTTTCTACAGTAATGAAATGTACACATTTTTACTTAAATATGACATTTTGGGGCTGCTGTATATTTCTTACATGGCACTGGATTTATTTGTAACCATACCAGCCCATTGCGGAAGGGTAGGAGGGTCTCCGTGAACCAGGTGAGGCCTGCAGGTGTGTGCGGCTCTTCAGAAGTTGCTTGTATTTGGGGTTGTGCCTTATCCAGCTCAGCAGCGCCTCACACGCTTCCTGCCTCATGCCCGTGTTGGTCAGGCTCACTGCCAGGGCCATGAGGGCCTGGAGGTTATTGGGGTGGAGCTCCAGACACCTGCACACACATACAACAGGGAAGCATCTAAAGAACCGCTGCTTTTGATGGACACTAATTAGCTGTCTGCCTTCATAATGAGAGGCAGATGCTTCCTGATTAGTGCTGGTTTTAATTTATGGGTGAATACTTGTGTCATCTTGTGTGTCTGCATGGAGACCATCTTAACATATTTCATAAAACCAAACTAAATCATTTGCTCAGTTTATGATGGAAGCCTGGATTCCCTGTTTTATAAGCGTAAGAAAAAACACGGCGTGGCTGACATCTGGATATTGTTTATTACCTCACACTGGCTACATGGGTGCATCAAAGAATAAAAATGGAAATGTAACAATGCCAAATAAAAGCCTTTTACTAGGTTGTCTTTATGACAGTCAGTAAAAACATTTCTCTTGTTGTCCATTAAAACAAAAGCAGTGCACATTGCTAATGATTTATCTGCTACATCCATCAGAAATTTCAGTTCTAATCTGATCTGATCTAATCAGATTTAGGTAAAAGTATACTCACCCCCTCCCAACCCTCCTGCCAAAATAAGATGACGGCTTTGTCCCAATTCATATGCTGACACTATAAAAAAATTTACTAAAAAAAGTTTTGTGGAACACACCACTATAGGCAAATTCCAGTCTGCATTTTTGGACCTCTAAAGGTATAGGCGGAGCGTGTGTAAGGCTGGGGGCTTAGCCTTCCCCTGGCTACGGGGACTTGGGGCAAAAATGGCACCAAATTGGACAAAAATGTCCCTGCACAAATAAATTAAATCTATTACATCTGTTGCTAACAAAGTGAATATGAATATATTCGATTGCGGCATTACATTAAAATCTGCTCATGTTGCACAGTATTTCATTTTAGGCGTTTTTACAGTGTTGCACATTTTAACCAATCACACACAATGCAATGGCCAATCAGAAGCGTTCAGAGAGTCATCGTTCAAACTCATCTGTTTTGTTGAGTGCGCGCGCGTTCGCTGACTGAATTCCGGACTCTTGCGAATTGTCTCATCATAAACAACAAAGCGCAGATGTACGTACAATGTAAGTAAGAGATTAATTGAACAGTGTATACAGCTTCAGTGATTATAACGACAGTTTTGTTTTTTTGAGAGTGCTTAAACTCGTGATAGATCAATGTTAGTGATAATGTCACTTTCTATATACAATTTATTCGCTGTTTGAATAACCGTGGAAAGGAAACGTTATATATTTATCAATTTCTAACGTTTTTATTAAATTGTAATCACGTTAAATACAAATTCAGTCCCATTAAACATTTTTTTAGCCATGTCTGGTTCTTGCCTAAAAAGATGGGTTTATGATGTTTAATACATTTGGCTGCTTTTAGCCTTACCCTGGAGTTGGTTCACCGTCCGCCTAAGTCTAAAGGTCAAAAGGAAGTAATTTGACCATTTATGATCACATGAACCTGAGGTTAATTAATTTAAATGCATTTCAGTTTGGGATTTAAACTAATTTAAATCAAACAGTAAGAAATTGTTCAAAAGTAACAGTCAAGACATTTACATTATTACAAAAAAAAAAATCAATTTCAAACCAATGTTTTTTTTTTTTTTTACTTTCTATTCATCAAAGAATCCTGACATTTTTTTTTTTCATGGTATAAAAATATTAAGCAGCATAAACATTTTCAACATATTTATTAGAATAATATATTCAATTATTAAGAGTAATATTGGATAATATTAGGAATGCATCTTGGGCGTCACAGGACTAAATTACATTTTACTTTGTGACTTTGTTTGCATGTAAACTGTATCAGCATTTGGCTAAATTCATTCACCTCTGGGTAATACAATATATTTAAGAAACTTAAATATAAAAACATTCCTTGTCACAGCTAAAGCTGTCAAATGACAGTCAAAAAAGACATTTAAAGTTTTGCACCCTAACTTAACTGATGTGGAAGAGTTTTATTGTAGTTCTACTCTATTTCTGCTCTACTAGTTCTATCTTGCATTCTATTTAGGACGAACAGGATGTGAACTGCAGCAACTATGTGGTCCAACCACAGATGATACACCATTTTAAAATGACATCTTAAATTACGTTAGATAATATCAGAGAGGCAGACATTATAAAAGCACTCTATTCAAAAGTATATGTAATATGAAGATATGAATACATGGTACCAAAACACAGCTTTGAGTGTCATTGCTGATTAACACAGATAGATTGGAGTTTTCACCCGGTTGCTCAGAGGAACATGGTATGAGATTATGGCTGGCTGTTCTATGCAAAATGAATGTAATCTCCCAAAGGCCTCTGTGCTTATGAAATGCAATTTTAATTGGATCACCGGGTTATTACAGTAGCACTTTATCTCAAGCAGGAGAGGGCACAGCACAGAGCTTTGTCTCATTTGGTGTCACAGATAGCCACATGGAGGTGTCCGACTCAAGGCCTTCTTCAATTTGAAGGGTCTTTTTTATATTGCTTATACCATTTCTGTTCTGAATGGGGATTAAATTAATATTTGGATTTGCAATAAACAAATCCATCATTAAGACATTTTTAACTTCAAACCGTTGCTTACTCTATCCATAATATTGTTTTCTCCAGTAAAAAAGTCATCTCGTCTGAATCAGGAGAGAAATATGCACAGATAAAGCATTGTTTATAAGCAAAAACAGTCCAAAAGAGTTCTAAACAAATATGTTAGTGTGTTTTGATGTGTGAGGACAACAGGCGATGGACTTTTTCACTGGATGAAGCATTATAGACCAATTCAGAGTAGATGTCACAGTTACGTCACTTGCAGCTTAGTGGTTGCAGAAAAACACTGGGAACAAGTGGAGGTAAATGGGTAAAATCCATGGAATAAAAGAAAAATATTTTTGTGCCTTTTGATGTCGAGATCGGAATGCAAAAATTTTTTATAGAATACTGTCGTCAAAGACGCCATTTGAAGCTAAACACAGACGTTTAAATGGACATACTATAGATGAAAACCGTCATTTTCTTCCTCCAGATAGGCTCCGCCCACAAAAACCGTCATTCCTGTTTCGGATCTGTAAGACTATCCCACTCTCTAAAGTCAATTTTGTTGAATAACAGTGCTTATCGCTGGGTGACAAGCTCTTGTAATATGTGGAGAACATTTTGAAAATGACATCTAATCAATATAATTTATAATCTTTTAAAACCTTTTTTGTACCGTATCTGTGAAATTCTCTAGCCATAAAGGCTATCTCTCCCGGGTTTTCTGCAACCATGATGCGCGCGCATCCTTAATGTTTACAAACGTATAATTGGTCTATTATGTTACAATTAGAAGTGACGATTTAAAGTCAATACGCCTTAATGTGTAGTTCATTATAAATTTCACTTCACAAGACATTAATTGATAGAGTTGTGCGGATTACTTGTGGATTATTGTGATGGTTTAATCAGATGTTTGGACTCTGATTCTGACGGCACCCATTCACTGCAGACGATCCATTGGTGAACAAGTGATGTAATGTTCAATTTCTCCAAATCAGTTCTGATCAAGAAACAAACTCATCTACATCTTGGATGGCCTGAGGGTGAGTACATTTTCATCAAAGTTTAATTTTTGGGTGAACTATTCCTTTAACCTTAATCTTGACTTGACATTGATGGTACAATCATCAATGATACATCCAGTACTAGTACAAAGCTATACTGTCTAACTCTGCTTTGGCTTTATTTTTGCCATAAACTCAGTCACATCTTAAGAGTGATGACTCAAACTTCATGAGCCAATCGGTTCTGTGTAAACCATCATTTGCATATGATTCATGCAGGGATACTTCCTTACCTCTGGAGGGAGACAATTGCTGCCTGCTCATTCTCATTCTCTGCTTGCGTGGTTCCCATCACCAGCCAAGCCTGAAAAAAAATAGGTATTGAACAATGAGCACTGGGGTTATCACCTTGACTCTGGCAACGAACTTCTATTGTGCACGAGCTACAGTGTTAACCTGGGGGAAATGATTCATTTTCAAAGGCCTGTGGCTCAGACATAGAACACAATGTTAGAGAGGAACTGAATGGATTTGTGTTCCCATTTCTTGAAGATGATGAATCATTGGATGTACTATATCGCTAGACAAATATTTAAAGTTTAGGATGTTGATTTAAGTATCATTAATTATGTGACTGAATATTTATGCTACGATTCCACAATGAATCATTTGTAGGGTTATGAACACCGAGTAAGACTAATTATTAGAAGATAAGCTTGTTAACTGTGTAGGAGGAAACTGCATTTCAAAACCCTCGTGACAAGGCCATAGTTTGTGAATACAACGGAAAGTGTATTAATGAGCCTTATTAATAGAATATTTTAACATGGCTGGCTGAGTCTGCGCTCTTAACTTATGTACAGTGAATATAGCGTACTTATGACAGAAGCAAAATCTCCCCGAAATGCCACTTGCTTTGTAATATTATCTGTTAACATTCAGCTTTTTTTGGAGACACAATCATTTAGAGGTGGGGTAATTCCAGGAGAAGAGGGATAATCTTCTCTGGGATGTAACTGAACTATTACATCATTAAATCGTCTGAAAAAAAGGGAACCCTACTCAGTTACAGGAGTGTTAATGGTTTGCCATCAGTCACTGTCAAGTACAATGTCTAATACAGAGCTCTCACTGAAAATTAGTAAGAACATGGAACCCCCTGCTTTGGCTAATCATGCCATGATCTGTAAAATGTTAATTGTGGGCAAGAACGTACCCACTGCTTATCACTGTACGTAGGAAAGGTATGACGGTAATCTGATTGGCAGAGCATGTTTTCAAGCTGTGCAGACGTTGATTTGATGAAAGTACCTGGCTGACTGTTGTTGTTTTATAAGCCCACTCGCTCACCTCCGAATCCTGAGGGTCGTGCAGCACAGCTGCTTCCAGAAGAAGTACAGCGTTAGGCAGGTCTCCCTCTCTGGACTTGCGTAATCCCTCCTCAAATGCATTTGGCCAGTCTTTGAAAGGGTTATCTGTGTGGAAGTAGTACCCCTGAGGAACAAATAATGGACATAATTAAGTAGTGCAAAATTTATGAAGATTTTGCTCACTAGTTAAATAAAAACATAAAAAAATAAAAAAACAAACTAATTAATTAATTGTGAAGGTGTTACATATTGAACAATAATAATGATAATAAAAAATGTGTAATTATAAAAACAATTAATACTACTACTACTACTACTACTACTAATAAGAATTTATTATTATTAATATTGTTATTATCATTATTATCACAATTCTAAATTAATATTTGTTTAAATTATTTGCTTGAATTGTTTCTCCTTTACCTTTTCATAAGGAGACACATTAGAGGGAATCTGTGGTTGATCATTCTCTGTTAGCCAGTTCCTGCGTGCGAGCTCTTCCCACTCTGCCTGCATTTTATCCCAAAACTCTGTGTCTGACTGAAAGGGATTCGATAAATGAGACAGAAAAATAGCTATGCTGTAAAAAAATTGCTTATAAAAATAAGTATAAAAACATAAAAAAATAAAAAAACAAACTAATTAATTAATTGTGAAGGTGTTACATATTGAACAATAATAATGATAATAAAAAATGTGTAATTATAAAAACAATTAATACTACTACTACTACTACTACTACTAATAAGAATTTATTATTATTAATATTGTTATTATCATTATTATCACAATTCTAAATTAATATTTGTTTAAATTATTTGCTTGAATTGTTTCTCCTTTACCTTTTCATAAGGAGACACATTAGAGGGAATCTGTGGTTGATCATTCTCTGTTAGCCAGTTCCTGCGTGCGAGCTCTTCCCACTCTGCCTGCATCTTATCCCAAAACTCTGTGTCTGACTGAAAGGGATTCGATAAATGAGACAGAAAAATATCTATGCTGTAAAAAAATTGCTTATAAAAATAAGAAATAAATGTTGGCACTATGTTATGTATGAAAACAGTTCTAAAATATAAAAATGTTTTACAAGTTTTTTTTATACATAAGGTTTTATAAATAATTTTGTTGTTTTTTTTATTTAACTAATCGTATAATATTCAATCTAATGAGCAGGAACATCACAAAACTATGGCTAATTGTATAGATATAGATAAAAATGTCTGTTAAATGAACAGATGTAAACAATTATACTGGTGTTCCAACTCCAAACACTTTAAAGATACTAAAATACCCATTTGTACTCCAAATGCATTCATTTACAGAACTTTTATTTAGTCAACTAGAAAGCTTATATGCAACCAGCCACCAAAACTGTTACAGTTTTAGCACCGCAAAAAATGCTTTTCTAGCTTAGATCTTTTGTCTTGTTTCCAGCCAAAATATCTAAAAATTCTTAAATCAAGAAGGATTTTCTAGACAAATAAAATGATTGTCTTGTTTTCAGAAAAAACAAGTCAAAATGAAGTGTGTTTTTGCTTGAAACAAGCAACATAATCTGCCAATGGGGTAAGAAAAATAATCTTGTTTCAAAAAGAATTTTTAGATATTTTGGCTGGAAACAAGACAAAAGATCTAAGCTAGAAAAGCATTTTTTGCAGTGAGTTTGCTATAGTTTCAGTTTTGTTGTTTTTGTTCTTTTTGTTCACAGTGTACAGAAGAGCACTTCATGGTGAAAATGTGTTTTCTGCCACCGCAACATCAAGCTCTGGTTAAATCTTAGTCTTTAGTCGAGTCTCTGCAGGTGTGCCACTCTTATGAATGCCTCAAATCTGTATCAACATGCCTCTGAACTCTCTGTGCTCTGCAATCTGAATAAAGAATCACTGTGCATGAATATTGATGGAAAGACTTACACAGCCACGCAAGCAATCATTCAGCTCTCAGCCATCTAGGACATTTGGAAATCTCATTTAAGGGTTTGATTAATCAAAAAAAATTACTTGCTCATAGCATTAGTAAGCGAACTGAGTGCACCGAAACACTTTGATTTGATGCAGAAGGACAAAATGCTTGAAAATTATTTTGAAATGTTAAAAAACACTAATTTGTCTTTACTTGAAAGCCTGTTACTCAAAACCTCACACATCACTGTCATGTGTTATGAAATCAGAAATGGCAGGAGCATTTGTTGAAGTCACCTATACCAATCGATACAGGTCACGAGTCCCAGTATCCCTTCATTACGACTCATATTCACTTGAAAAGCACTGCTGTAAGAGAGCTATCTGCTTTTCAAAAGCCTTTGTGGCACGATTCCCTCAGAGATTGTATTTATGATGAGGGTTTTCAAAGAATGTTGTGCGACTGAAAGATGATGAGATGTTATTTTGTTCAATGACACATCTTTTGTTGAGGAGATAAATGGCCCTCCGTGTTTTATGACGGGCAACAGCTTCACTAAGTGGCCAATTACGGTAATTGGATGACCCACCCCCTCTTTTCCCCCAACAGCAGCACAGAGAGAGTCCAACAAGTCAAAGGTCAAAGTTGAAGACTCATTATCTCTCATCCAGAGAAAGACTGCTTGACTGAACTTTTTAATAGCCAGAACATTTGCGTTAAGAACATACTTCACAGCACACATCTTCACTGAACACATCAAAGATATTTTCTTGAATCCAGAATTACAGATCCCTCTTTTCGTTAACTTTAGCAATATAACATTTTTAAAAAAAGACATTCGCTCACCCTCAAGTAATTTCAACTTTTTTTTGCACAAAAGTTGAATTTTTGAAGAATATCCAGGCCATTTTTTTTTCAATATATTGAAAATAAATGAGGACTGGGGCTGTCAAACTCCAAAATGACAACAAAGCACTATAAAAACATCTCGGTTATGCATGGTAACCCTCGTTCCCTGAAGGAGGGAACGGAGACGTCACGTCGGATGACCGACGAAATTGAGATCTCGCTTAGAGAGACCAATCTACTTCGAGTGTAAACTAAACGAGGAACTCAACAGGGTCTACTATATGGACTCTCTGGAGTGGTTTTTGCAAGCCGACCTGAAGCCGGGGCCTCTCAGTGCTTCTACCCGTTTGATGTGAGAACACAGGAGGATACTGGCTCCACACGAAGGCTATAGAATCTAGTGAACGTGTTAGGGGTCGCCCAGCCCGCAGCTCTACAGATATCCGCCAGCGAGGTGCCACGAGCCAGCGCCCAGGAGGATGCAACACTTCTAGTTCAGTGAGCTCGCAACCTGAACAGGCAGGGCACACCCTGTGGCTGATAAGCCAGGGTGATGGCATCCACTATCCAGTGGGCCATCCTCTGCTTAGAGATGGCATTCCCCTTCTGCCGGCCTCCGTGACAGACAAAGAGCTGGTCTGAGGTCCTGAAGCTTTGCGTCCGGTCTACGTAGCACCTTAAGGCTCGGACGGGACAGAGCAAAGCTAGGGTGTGACGGAAATGTTACGCCCCTTAACATATTTGGAAACACACAGCGTCTCCACGACATGGCAACAATACTACAGCACGTAAATAAAAGCTTATTTAAAATATTAAGAAATACTATATTAAGCACAATATTTTCCAAGTCTTCTGAGCTTGATAACTTTGTCTAAGGAACATTCTCAAAATTTAAGTTGTTTTTCATCGAAAATCATTAATAGTTATTCATATAAGTAATAGTGAGGTCTGATTCATGAACTGTTCTTTTGAATCAGATTTTTTCAATTAAATGGTTCTTATCTGGTTCACAAGACCAGAGGCCGGTTGTATAAACTAATCAGACTTGTCTTAAAAAGTTAGAAATCACATTTTTTTTCTTCATGGTCAAGAAAAAGTAAGACGGATTAATTATTGGCTAACTGCTCTTTAAAGTCAAACTGGTTCTTAAGACACAATCTTAAAGGGGTGATGAACTGAGAAATCAAAATTCCCTGTCTTTTGACATATAAGAGGTCAATTTGCTATAAAAACATTCTGTAAGTTTCAGAACTCAAAACTTTCTGATTAGTCTAAAAACAGCTTATATTGAAGCCAATCTGCCAAAATGACAGGTTGTGGAATGTGCCATTTTATGACATAATAGTGTGGTTAAACACCGCCTCAGCAGAAGAAGATCAATGCCTGCTTCTACATCACTGCCTGTTTAGCCCCACCCACCGATTCTACATCACTGCCTGTTTAGCCCCGCCCACTGATTCTACATCACTGCCTTTTTAGCCCCGCCGACTGATTCTACATCACTGCCGGTTTAGGCCCGCCCACCGATTCTACATCACTGCCTATTTAGCCCCACCCACCGATTCACGCAAGTAGGTAAATAATAAGAGCAGCAGATGCAGGTCTACGCACAAACCAAACAATAAACTTTATTTGATGAACTCTATTTTTAATGAAGTGCTAGACCACATAAGTAAGAACTTGGTCCTTTGTCCACTTCATTTTAGGCACAATTCAATGCAGGATTACTGGATCCGATGTCGCACCACACAAGTGTGAGTAACTGTTTTCATTATGTGATTTGTCTGTTAGTGATCGTTTGATATGTACTGAGTATTTATGCGTTTTTAACCCAAATCACAGCAGAGTCCATCTATGAAGGATGTAGGCTGTCAAACATACACAACTGTTAGCCAATCATAGCAGTGGGTATTTACTTCCAAGTCTACAATCCGCCACGGCTATTCAAACAGAGCGTTCTGATGAGGGGAGTCAAAGCAGTAATGAAAATAGCCTTTTACTTATAAATTATGATGTTTTTTGATGTAAAAATCTTGATAACATTATAAATGGACCTCAGACAGTACAATATAATAAAAAAGGCAGTTCATGACCCCTTTAAAATAGTAGCTGTGTTTATACAACTGGCCCCAGTTCTTCACCAATCTTGAAAGCATTTTGAAAGCTCCAGTCACAATTCAATGTAACTGCATGGAAAAGAGTGAATTCTCTTTTTGAGTTTTGGAGTGAACGATTCCTTTAGCAACTTTGGTCACCTATTTTGTGCAAAGCACCTGGTCTTTTTCTAAAAATACCTGCTTCATTGAAATATATGTCACAAACACTGAAAAAGATCCATGAAAAATAACAAGTGTCGTGTTATGACAACCCCTGAAGCTGTTACTGTCTAAGGGGCTCAGAAAAAGCATTCCTGAACACCCCTGACATTATGTGTAATTCAAGACTGGCATCTTTCCTTTAGCGTTTCCTTTTACCTCAACTGCATTGTTCGTCCCTTGAGAGATTGTGAGATACAGCTTTATAAGCGTAATAAAGGATGAATGTTGTCAGGAGCTCAGTAGGCCATGTCAGAGGCCTTAACGGGTACACTGAGGGCTCCAAAGGGGGTCAGTGCTCGGTCTTCCTCATTTTCAAAAAGAGACACATGATCAAGGCCATGCTGTTCCACTGGGGTGAGAAAGTATTTTCTAATTGGTCTTTGTTTCTGAAATAGAATGCCCTTTGGTTCACAAGTCTGAGACCTTTATTTCTATTTGGATGGTACACAAAAGCCTATTAGCTAAACTCTATTGGGAAATGCTTTATCCGGGAAAAATAAATTTAGAAGCAAAACTGCATAAGATATAAAATTTTTTTTGGAACATAATATATTTTGAATTAAGTTTATTATTTTAAAAACATTGGCACAGATTCCTTTTTCTCATTTTAGGCATACATCTAACAGGTAAAGAGTGAATGCTTATCAAATACATTTGTTAGATTGGAAAATAATAACTTTACACATTCATACAGAACAGTAAATAAGAGATCTGGACCACTGTTGGAAAAAATAAGAAAATTGGGTTGCAAATAATTATTTGAACTCTCTCAAAGACTAACTCTTTAATAGAGGAGCAAGTGAATATATTCATCTCATAATTACTAACTAAAAGAGACCAAGGGTCAGCTCATAATTAGAATAATAAAAAACCCTAAGACATACGTGACAAACAATTAATAAGCCTGAGCATGACAGTCATAAATACAAGTCTACAAACTCCAGTGAGGCTTCTATTAAACTTTTGAACAAAAACTTCTGACAGTTTAGAATATATGAGTCAAATAATCACATGTAAATCAATGCAATTCATATTTACGAATTAATATGCATCATATTTACTTAACTAAATAATGCTTAAAGACAGAAATTATCAAGTAACTGCATTACTGTACTGCTCCTTCAGTAACTATAAAAATTTTTTCCCAAAAGCATGAACTATCTGTCCGGGAGTTTGGTTTGTTGAGCATATATAAAAAAGAATTGACAAGCTGTCAAGTCCTGCTGTTAAAACCGATCCCTGTCATTTTGCATCATATGAAACATCTCCTACTTGTTAGGAGATGGAGAGGAACAGAAGATGGATTTTGAATAACCATACATGTGCTCCTAAAGTAAATCTAAAGCCTATGGTTAATGATACTGTTCTTATATTGTAAAACAAATGCTTTTATTGGTTTGAAGTGAGAAGTCTTAAATGCCCAACAGGTTCCTGGTATTATACATTGTCTCATCATGAAAGATGCTGTTATTTACAGCATAAATCCCTACATTTAACACACCTTTGTGCTATATTTGGCCCTGACCGGCACAGAGTCACCTGAAAGCCTGCGTTCACCTCTTGCTGTCTGCCTGTTTCTAAATAGAGCAGCATAATTTCAGATGTATTCTGTTTCCTGCATCCCAACATCCTCCCTTAAGAGTGCGGGGCGTAAAATGTATTTTCCATCTATCTTGCATTTTTATTCACTGCTCAGTAAGCAGCCCAGCCCGACGATTCCCCATTTCAATTCATTTTAGGCTCCAAGGTATTTCTTCATTCAGGACATCAACAAATGAAAATTATTGGAAACTGGCCTCACTGTCCCAGAAAGTAGCTTTCTGGATAATTCAAGACTCATATTATAATCATATTAAATATATGCAGTTACTTATAGGGGGGCTGGAGGCAGAAGGGCAGCTCTCAGTGTGCAGGCCAATGTTCCCGTAATGATTGAAACTCAAGAATGGTGCAATCGATCAACCCTCCATTTGTTCCCATTGCAGCCTTAAGAATCACTACTTACTGTACACAAAGTCCCGCCCCCCTCTCAACCCTCTTTCAAATCGAATACTGGCTCAGTCTTATAGTTGTAATGGGCGCTGTTTTGCGAGCTACAAATAGGCAGTATAACCAGTGATTCTGTGCACAGTACAAATTCTGCATTGAGTGGTTCTTCGTACTGTAAGTACTGCTCTCACTTTTAGATGTGCCCTTCCTCTTTCTCCTCCATTATTCATCTGTTCTTACAGATCCCCCATGTTTGTGCCCTTAGCACTCTACCACTGTAACACATGTAATACAATAGCTAGCTTCTTACAAGTGCAACAGCAGACAATCATCAGAACAACATAAACTATTAAGCAGTGAGAACTCTTAAAACAGTACTAAGTAATGAAAGTACATTTTAATGAAACATGACATTTTTATTTGTAGGTTTTGGTTACTATGTTGTGCATTTAAGACTGAAAATTAATAATAATAATAAATAAAATAAATGTATTTTCAAAGACTCTCATCCAAGCAAAATGCAAAAAAAAAATTTAGTTATATTATTTGGTTGAATGAGAGATATTTTGTCTAGATGTTTTTTCCCCCCTGAGTGACAGGCCTTAAAGTAATTTCTTCCAATGCATCAGCGGTTGTGATCACTGAAGCGCAGGAACTGATGTTAGATAGCAGGGTCTCCAGCGGAATTAGCCCATATCTAGTTTCTGAACGGACAATACCTTCTCCTCTGCCACCTGATGGTGCACGACTGGCCTATTTTCTTCTCTCATTAAGCAATGGAATGTTATTATATGGTTCAACTTATTCCATGAGCAACGGTGATGACATCATAATCAATCAATTATTGAGGGAGGCTAATTAGCATCACATTGTACTCGTGACAGCAAGCGGTTTACATCCAACTCGTCCAACGCCACAAAAGTGAGGTCTTATTAAAATATGAACTTTAACAAAGGGTGCACCTAAATAAGTTTCTTCAAGAAAAAGCAAAATGATAAAATATTTTTTTCCATCTCAGTTTATGGGGCTAGTTCATCCAAAATGAAAATTCTGTCATCATTTACTCACCCTCCAAAAAACTATATGAGATTCTTTCTTCTGTGGAACATAAAAGAAGATTTTGGAACCGTTTTGGTAACCATTGACTTTCTTTGTACGGATTTATGATGTACAGAAGAAAGAAAGTCATACAAGTGAAGGTGAGTAAATGATTACAAAATGTATATTTTGTAATATATATACACAAAATGTATATATATATTTAAATACATACAGAATTCCACAGATTTTTCCCAAACTGAAGCAGAAAAAGTGTAAAATATCTGTAGATTCCATTTGGGTCTGTCAATAAGTTGATAAGAAAAGGCAAATGCTATTTGCATCAAATTAAAATAGTGGTAGATACTGTTTGAATCAAGTATAAATATCAACATGAACTTTAACAAAGGGTGCACCTAAATAAGTTTCTTCAAGAAAAAGCAAAATGATAAAATATTTTTTTCCATCTCAGTTTATGGGGCTAGTTCATCCAAAATGAAAATTCTGTCATCATTTACTCACCCTCCAAAAAACTATATGAGATTCTTTCTTCTGTGGAACATAAAAGAAGATTTTGGAACCGTTTTGGTAACCATTGACTTTCTTTGTACGGATTTATGATGCACAGAAGAAAGAAAGTCATACAAGTGAAGGTGAGTAAATGATTACAAAATGTATATTTTGTAATATATATGCACAAAATGTATATATATATTTAAATACATACAGAATTCCACAGATTTTTCCCAAACTGAAGCAGAAAAAGTGTAAAATATCTGTAGATTCCATTTGGGTCTGTCAATAAGTTGATAAGAAAAGGCAAATGCTATTTGCATCAAATTAAAATAGTGGCAGCTGCTATTTAATTGTAAATTAAACTAATATGCTATTTATTCTAAAGTAAAAACGTCTGAGTAATGATGGGTGGAGTTAGTCAGAAGACAAAGCCTGTCAACAAAGTTGGTTTTTTGTACTCTGTGTAAACACACTGCCTATTAATGCCCATTAACTACGCCCATTAAGTTTTTGATGCTTACAGATATTTTTAAAGGAGACTTTTGGCTTACCTCCACTGCTGCCTTAGCTCTCTCAAACTCTTCCTCCAGAGACTGGTTTCTGGACAGGAGTGTGCTACCCCACCTTTGGTCTTTGCTCAAACGGCCCTGTCAGACACACGCACACAGAGCAGGAGTCAGAGAGAACATGCTCAGCCATCTCTCAGTTACTCTGACAGGAGAAAAGGCCCTGATGTCAGAGGCAAGGAGAAATGCCAGCATTAGCAGCACAGGGTCTTCTTGTTTTCTTTCTTTCTTTCCTTCCCTCTCTTTCTTTCTCACTTTCACTCCCTTTTGAGGTCCTGCTGTCCACACCTAATGTTCTCACACTCAAAATGGCTCAGGACTGGCTTGTCATGCACAGCGCGCTGCCCTCACACATTTTTTCTCAGTATGCAAATCTGAAAATAGCATGGCAGGAGACCTTTGCTCAGCATGAATCGTCAAATATGCACCAGTTTCAACACTGTACACCTGAAGACATGCTTCACATGCGGTAAAGTCATTCATTTTGACTACACTGCTGTGTGTGTGTAAACCCCACAGCAACAGAAAACAAGCTTACTGCAAAATAAAACACAACAGTAAGATCTCAAGGGTTTTATTTTCTCAGAGTCATAAAGGCTTCATCTGGATGGGTTTCAAATTTAGAGGGAGACATATGGGCATAACAAACAATAGGAGCCTTTTGTTTACATTTGGTGATGGCTTAAGACACTATAAACTACCACACTATTTTTGTTAAAGGAATAGATCATCCAAAAATACAAATTTGCTGAAAATGTACTCACCATTCAGCCATCAAAGATGTAGATGAGTTTGTTTCCTGGTCGAAACAGATTTGGAGAAAGTTAGCATTACTCTCTTGCTCGCCAATGGATCCTCTGCAGTGAATGGGTGCCGTCAGAATGAGAGTTCAAACTGCTAATCAAAGCATCACTATAATCCACTAGTAATCCACACAACTCATGTTCATCAATTAACGTCTTTTAAAGTGAAACGCTTTATCATTAGGACGTTTTTAGCTTCAAACCGTTGTGTCCAGCTAAAATACCTCTATCCACGTTCTTGCTTTATTCAGTAAAAAAGTTGTCTTGTCTGAATTAGGAGAGAAATATGCACACAGGCGAAAAGCAGTCCAAAACAGTAAACAAATAGGTTGGTCATGTGGATTACTTGTGGATTGCTGTGATGTTTTGAACTCTCATTCTGACAGCACCCATTTGCTGCAGAGGATCCATTGGTGAAGTGATGTAATGCTAAATTTCTCCAAATCTGTTTTGGTGAAGAAGCAAAAGTCTATATCCTGGATGGCCTAAGGGTGAGTAAATTCTGAGCAAGTTTTCATTTTTGGATGAACTACTACTCAACTAGGTTATTGCTAGGGCTGTCAATCGATTAAAATGGTTAATCAAACTAATGAAATGATATGCCAATTAATTCATTGCATTTAACGTTTCAGTATATCTTCCATCTAGCTGTCTTTAAAGTGGTTCAATGGTAGAAAAATTCCTTATTACAAAATTAATGTACTGGCCAGGGGGCATGATTAATTGTGCTACTTTTGAATTGCATTTTTTTTTTAAAAATCACACTAAATGCACATATAAAATTGACAGCCCTAGTTGTTGCATTTTCAGTGATAATAATGTTATGTTTTTGGTGCTCCTTAAACTTTAAAGTTGCTTTTCATTTTAATGAATAATAGTTACCCTTTAAAATTCACCCTCTGTATGTAGCTTTGTGTCTTGTTCTTAGGTCATTTTAAATGTCAAGTGCTGAGCTATCAATGGAAAACTTCCATTTCCCCAATTCAATTCTCAGCATAACAAAGCCTTCCAGGCAGACTGAATCAAAGGAATAGGATGAAGTATTTGCTACCTGCCTCATTGGATATTAATCAATTACCAAGGTTACCAAGTTAAACGGATTTCATACAGGAGGCTATAATGGAGGCCTCAAAAAGGACAATTGGTCTTGCTTCATTCTGCTGGTGCAGCTCTGTATAATTACATTTAATGTGCCCTGTCAGACCTCGTGTCAGTGCAACAATTACCTTTAACATTACACATTCCATTTCCACTGCAACTCATGGCTGGAAGACAATTTGAGCTTGATGTTTTTAGAACCATGCAGTTCACATATACTGATTGCTCCATCATGACTAGTCTTAACAAATGTAAGACAAATGAATCTGTACTCCATGTGTACGTTTTAGGTATATAAGGGTCAATGACATATAATAGTGTAAAGAAACATTAATCATAATTCTTTTTAAAATAAAAGTTTTGAAGTTTTAAAATACAATTTCAATGTGAAAAGTATTTTTTAACAAATATTATGAATTATTAATTAATAACTCTACCATTCAAAAGTTTGGGGTCAGTAAGATTTTTTTTTTTTTTTTTTGAAGATTAATATTTTAATTCAGCACGGATGGAGACTGAAGTAATGGCTGCTGTGTCATCACAGTAATAATTTCCATTTTTAAATATATTAAAATAGAAAGCAGTTATTTTAAATTGTAATAATATTTAACAATATTACTGTTTTACTGTATTTTTTATCAAATAAATGTAGCCTGGGTGAGCATATGAGACAAAACATTTTTTAAAATCTTACTGACACCAAACGTTCGAACAGTAGTGTATTGATACATTTTTGGGGAGTCACACCACATGACATTTTACAACCTGACTATAAACGTGATGAGCAAATCTGAGGCACCCACTGCTGGACACCATATATCTGGTGTAATTTCATTTATGCTTTTCCAATAGCAAACTTGAACAATATTATACAACCTCCGGTGTTCATACTGACCAGTGGCTGGTCAATAATTAATTTGATAATTATCTAATCATGATAGATAGCAATACAACAGACCTGCATGCTTCACTGAGGGGAGAAGCGTGTAACATTTGTACCCTGTAGCACCACAAGAAATGTGAAATTCCTTGCAAACTGTGACCTGCCGTGAGGACGTCACTTCCGTTCATTACTTGCCGTGAAGGATTGCCAAAATGGTTTGGTCTTTTTTGTATTGAATTTGGTGGTGATGCTGTTGCCATGGTGCAAATGCATAGACCATTCAGCGATTCATACAAAAAGTGCACAGAGAGGCTTACATGTCTTCCACTAACATATTGCCTGTTGAGCTGGAAATAAAGAATTCTAGATGTTAGCACAGAATGTTCCACAATGAGTGGCTAAAAAACAAACAAACCAAACACAGGTTCAAGTGTATGAACTTACAATAATATGATAAAACTACAACGAGTGGGACACGTGGGAAATAACATGTGAAAGTCACTGACACATGTGCATAGATGATCATGACTTATAAACAGAGTGATGAGTGTTGCTCGGTGTTGCACTTACTTGAGTTACTGGCACGGCTTCCGCCTCTACTTTATTATTGACCTCCAGGGAGTTCCTGGGGGCAGTGTCTAGCTGAGTCTTGCAGTCCATAGACCTGGGGTTATATCATAAGAAATTGATGGGAAAAAAGGTATTCATATCTTTTAGATATCCAGAAAGTGTGTGTGTTTTCATATTAATTTTTAGAGCAGCAACTTACCACACAAATTCACCAGAATTTTTTGATGAACGTCTTCTCTCAAGCTTCCACTTTCTGCTCCCATTTCGCTCCCGGTGTGGGTTGAGTTCTTCCCATTTGTCCAAAGAAGATGGAATTGCTACTGTAAACAAAATGAGGCCATGCTGTTTGACAGAGAAATATTATCATACTGCAACCCAAGTAAAACACAAGCAACACCACAGTTTGAAGAATTTGCAGTATGCACATATTCAAGAGGGCAACTATATAACGATATGCAAACCTGTAATGTTCTTTTTACTGAAAAAGTACTTTCCGTTACAGAACTTGTTCAGTTCATGTAATGAAAAACACGGTTTCATTTGTGTAACCATCTGATTTCCCTGATTTGCAAGAGTGCTTCTCAGCATAACAGCCTTTCACTTTAGCTGTCTGACACTTAATACCTGAGTCCAATGAAATCTTTTCAGGTGTGCGGGAACAGGGTATACTCTGTTCAACATCCACTTGGATCAGCTCTGTTTCATCAGGCTTCTTCCTGTATGGTGTGCCCTTAGTAGAAAGAGGGCTCTTCCTGTCTTTGCTGTGTCTTCTCTCACCAGGTTCACTCAGATCCAGCAGGTCCAGAGAGGAGGAGAGTACTGGACATAGGAAGCAAAAAGAAAATAAATATCATCTACTTTTATTTGTCTTTATTCTCCAAAAGTGTGGGGTGCATCCCCTGGCCAATGCCAAGTTTTGAGTATAAGTTACTGTTAGAAAACACTCTCTGTCTTGAGAATGTTCCAAATATGCCTCACCCCTCCTTTCTTTCCCTCTCCCTCTCACTCTCCCTCCTCTATCTGTTCTCTCTCTCTCTTGTATGGTGTTTTAATGTCTCTTACTCATATTCGAGGTAGGCATGCGCACATGTATACATTAGTTGCTTGGTTCAAATGCCCAAATAAGGAGATGAATGCTAGGACTACGAGGTAAAGGAGTTCGTGCTGAACTGTGAAGAGGGTTCAGCATCCTTCGCCAGGAAGTCTATTCCTAATATGTACATGTTTTTCTGTACATGTGGCCATTTTATACAAAACACATGTTCTTGGCCAAACATCCTATATGTGTATGTCATCCTATCCTCATTGGTTAAGAGGGTGAAACTCCCCTCGACATATGCCTATATAAGATCTGTATTTCTATGAATAAATTGAAGTATTGAGAATACATTGACTGTGTGTTTTCTTGCTTCCCGGCCGTTATACACTTTAAGGAACTGAGAATTCTTCAAGGCGACAAAGAGATACGAGGGACAAATTGTTATTTATTAACAGTTACCATAGTAAACTACTAGAGCAAAAGTAAAATAAATAAATGAAAAATAAGCTATGATGGTCTCAAATTGAGTGAAGGTTGGCAGCTTATTTCACCACAGAGGAACTGAGAGGGTTAAGGTTCTGGAAATCAACATTATGCCTCATTGTCAAGGAACTTCCATGTGTCATTTGCTCACTGACTGTAAATAGCGGCATAGAATAAACTCTTAAAGGGATAATTTACCCAGAAATAAAAATTCTGTCATTAATTACTCACCCTCATGTCGTTCCAAATCCTAACCCGTAAGACCTTCGTTCAGCTTTGGAACACAAATTAAGATATTTTTGATGAAATCCGAGAGCTCTCTGGCCCTGCATAGACAGCAACACAACTACAATGTTCAAGGCCCAGAAAGGTAGAAAGGACATCGTTAAAATAGTCCATGTAACATCAGTGGTTCAACCTTCAGGGTTAGGTCACCCAAAAATGAAAATTAACCCATTACTTACTCATCCTCAAGGCATCCTAAGTGTATATGACTTTCTTCTTTCAGACGAATCCAATCTTCCAAGCTTTATAATGGCAGTGGGTGGGTGTTTTCGTTCAGCAGTCCAAAAGAAGTCCAAAAAAAAGCATAATAAAACATGCCTCACATCGCTCCGGGGGGTGAATAAAGGTCTCCTGTAACGAATCGATGCATTTTTTTGTAAGAAAAATATCCATATTTAAAATGTTATAAACCATTTTCACTATCTTGTGCTAACTGTCATACGCAGAAGCTGTTCTGGGCGTAGGACGTATGCGTAGCGCATGCACCAGTGAGAATATGCTAGTCTCGCAAGAACCAACGTTTGTTTACAGGAGCAAAGGAAGCAAATTTTCCTTACTTTTGCAAAGGAAAACCAGTCTCCTCTTGGCTTATATCGAAATTGTCCAACATTTTTCTTTACAAATCCTCATTTTGTACTTCTAATTCGAGACCGATTTTTGTTTTGCTCTCTGTATATACAGTATATATATATACACTGCACTTCCGCATATGTCCTACGTCATCCGCCAGAAAGGCACTCTCTCGTGAACGCGTGTACGACAGTTAGCGTAAGTTACAGATTATTGTTTAAAACGTTTTAAATATGGATATTTTTCTTACAAAAACACATCAATTCGCTACAGGAGGCCTTAATTCACTTCCCAGAACCATGTGAGGCACTTTTTTATTATGAATGGACTTTTATTTATTATTTATTGGACTTTTGGACTGTTGAACGAAAACTCCAACCCACTGCCATTATAAATCTGGGAAGAGCCAGGACATTTTTTTATATAACTCCGATTGGATTAATCTGAAAGAAGAAAGTCATATACACCTAGAATGTCTTGAGGGGGAGTAAATCCCGAGCTAATTTTCATTTTTGGGTGAACTACAGAGGAATGCACACACATGCATTGTGGTACTCTCGTGAATGCACGTTGAAGACTGACATGGAAGAGAAGAAATTATTGCATAAAGTCATTATTTTTGTTTTTTATGCGCACAAAAAAAGTATTATCATAGCTTCATAACATTAAGTTTGAACCACTGATGTCACATGGACTTTTCTAACGAAGTCCTTACTACCTTTCTGGGCCTTGAATGTTGTAGTTGTGTTGCTGTCTATGCTTTCAGCGCATCAGTCATGGTTGTCAGGAAAGTGAAAAAACAAATACACAGTTTGACCAATTCATACAGTACATCATCAATAGCTGTTCACGTTCGTGATTTAGTAATACTGCATTTACACCAGAAAATGTACAAGAGTTTGCATGAATCATAGCCCAGACCACTCTTTTTAGACTTGTGTACGGTTCACAGGTGCGCACCCGAGTTCAAAAAACAATGTTCACATTATCCAAACGAACTGAACTCTCACATCAAACAAACCCGGGTGTGCACCAACAGTGCTAGTGTGAAAGCATCAACATCCTCTCATCCCTTATCCATCTCTTGTGTCTCCAACGGATTAAAAAACATTAACATTTGAGAGCTACTGATGTGAGCTAGCAAGTTTTTGCTCAGTTTCGAATTAGCACATCAGCCAAAAGACCAGAGTTTAAAGGAAAGAAAAAACACAGAATAACACATCCTAGCTTAGTTATTGCTATAGGCACTTATCTACCTGCGTGGTCACAGCAATAAAAGACAGCAGGCAGTTCCGACAACTCAGGGGCCAGTGTCAAATAATCTTTGATGTTGCATGTTCCTCTCCAAGAGAACAAAGAGCGTTTGATATAGTGTGTATATATATATATATATATATATATATATATATATATATATATATATACTTAATCAAGAACACTCTCTACAGAACAATGTGTTCTGCTGCAGAGGATGAAGGTTTGAGAAGAATGTGTTCATTCAATATTCAGAGGGAAAGTAGTCAGCTTTCCGATTAGGTGAGATTAAAGCATAAAACTTTTAGATGGTTGAACCCCCCTACCACCCCCCTCCCCCACCCCCATACGTGAATTTTAAGAATAGACGCTCCGGACATATTCTACAGCTTCTGCCCCCTTCCTGTTACCCTTCTGGCTTGCAGAACAGAGGTCTTCATAACCAGGTGGTAGACAAAATATCCATGCAGGTCTGCATTGTAATGCAGATGCCAACATTGAGGATGCTTGATCCAAGCCTTGAGGGCTTGACAGCACACCTTCTGAAATCTGGCACAAACGTCAGAGCTGAAACCAGGTTACCACCACATGCTTTTGTCTCTGCCGACCACACAAGGACCAGCCTGGACACCAAAACCTCTCAAGACTTTTATTGATGTAAAATAAAAATACTGATAACTGGGTCAATGACAAGTATGTCTACGATAAAGAAAAGGAAGAAAAAAAATGTTCTAGGAAGTTCTCAGAAATGCATTCTTTGCATTCATGTTGGTTTTGAAAAACTTTTATATATTTAATAATAAATAATAAAATATTTTTTCTTTCACCTTGAAGATGTGTTTATTTTTTAATAAGATTGCATGTAATGTTGTTGACTCAACTATCAAAAATCTCATTATAAAAATATTAAAAAAATATTAAAAAAATCAAAAGCTCATTATAAAAAACCTGACAAACAGACACAAAAATTATGTTAACATGACATTTTGAAATCGTCCACTTTTTCTCTGGTATTGATGTCAAAATGATACAGCAGATAATCATTTGTGCATAGAATAAGCTGTCAAACCACTGGTAAATGTGATATAGAAATTGTTATAATGAGTAAAAATATATCTAGATTTAGGTGTTTAGGTGTCAATCTTACACATTGTTGGCTTATTATTATTATTATTATTATTATTATTTAATTAAATGACTTCACAGTTTGTACTTTGTAGATGTAACATAGAAATTAAAGTTTTGTAGTTTAACATAACCACATAAGCTGTCTTAAAGAAAGAAATATAGGAGTCCTGATGCCTTGATAATATGATAGTCTGAAGATTCTGAAACCAAAGCAAGTCGTGATTTTTTTATTACTAAAATAAAAAATGATCAAAAGCTCACACGGGAGAATCTGCCAGAGAATAATAATTGAATTCTGAGGCGTTCCTTCTAAAGATTACAGCAGTTCCCATTAAAGACCTGAATATAAATTTCTATAATCAGCTCCATTCCTTTTACAGACAGATACTGTTCCTCTAATCATTCAAATTCTTCTTACATTATGCACAATCAGCTTGTAACACTCCAAAGAGAAAGGAAAACTTGAAATTGCATCATATGACCCCTTTAAGAATTTAGTTTTATTAAGCATAAAAAGTATACAATCATATTAATAAACATTATGCAAAAAGTATTTAGTGATACCAACAAGAAACTATTATTTCAATGCAGTGTTTACTTGGCAGTTGACTCTGGCTTCACATTTCATGTCAGGCATACTCCACTACACATAGACCAATAACTGACACTTTCACTATTTGTTTGACAGACTGAAAATCTTTCATACTGTGAAGTATTTTGTGACATTTTGATTGCAGAAAGTTCTGCCCGGGATTCTGAAACTCAATTCACATTACGTTCAAAGGCACAGTAATTAACAGACTGCTGCTTTATTACAAGCAATCGAAAGATCCTCCAAACATAATCTGTTGGTAAATAGAATATGCTGTTTTCCACAATCGGAAAGTAAACAAGAAACTCTATAGGGAGTAGGAATGGTTGTCTTAATTGCTTTCTGGTGTAGGCAAGTGAGGGTGCGAGTGAAATAAATACAGATTTAGTTGCTCAGCCTCTCAGTGTGATCTTCACGTAACGCAGCTGTCATGCAGTAAGAGGCCACTTACTTCCTCATTTAGTAATGTGTCTGTCTGCTCTGCTAATCAGTGTTGAAGACTTATATACAGTAATGCAGATGACATTTGTGAGGAATTAAAGGTGGGGTATGTATTTTTTCAAAAATGCTTTAGAAAACTGAGTCGGGCCGAGTACCAAAACAAATTTGTAGCCAATCAGCAGTAAGGGTTGTGTCTACTCATGATGCAGAGGAGAGAGCGCTCAGTGCACAGGACGGACATTAGCCGAGACGAGCGACCCACAGAAAGATAGCGATGGTGGATAAAAACCAAAAGAGGAAAACGTCTGCAGAACGATAAGGCAAGAAGTAGGACCCGTGTAAATATCGGATCAGCTTTCCAGTGCTGGAGAGAAATCAAGGAGCGGAAGGCTTGCGATCGGACGCCGAGGTTGCTTTGTTTCTTCTCGATAGGTGAGTAAAACACCGTGTCTACACCGGACTTGCCACGCCGCAACAGCTAAAATCTGTCTACACTGGATGCGACAAAGCAACTGTTGAAAATAATTTGAAATTTGTGTCAATACGTCATAAATAGAACGCAGTAGCAGTTTTCTGTCGGGGATTTGTCGTGTTGTGCCGCGCCGCATCCAGTGTAGACAGCATCACTGATTATAATGAGTTCTATAGTATTTTGTCGTGTCGCTCGCGTCCGGTGTAGACACGGTGTAGCATTGGTTTTGCTTTGTTTCACAGAACTAATTGTTGCCTGGGTTGCGTACATAGGCTATGTGTGGGGTGGAGCTATCAAAATAGGGGCGAGACCCTTTTGGGGTAGGGGTGTTTTTGTTTTAGTGATTTGAAATATCAACATTGGCTACCAGAAATCACTTACCCCACCTTTGAGTAGGTAGAAACTTAAGAATGAGCAATATTTGGTGTTAGCAGCCAACATTGATATTTGCCATATTACTGTATTTCTCTTTGCTGTTGAATTTTGATTGGTTTGTTAAGGCAACAGTTTGCATACCTTTTGTTTAATTAATTTACTTAATTACACTATCATTCAAAGGTTTGGGTTGGTAAGATTTCTTAAATGTTTTTGAAAGTCTCTAATGCTAACCCAAACATGTATTTGATCAAAAATACAGTAAATGTAATATTGTAAAATATTATTAAGATCTTAGTCTTAAATTTTTAAAGATTTTAAAATGTATATTATGTGTGTGCTGTCAAAGCTGAATTTGAGCAGCTGATACTCCAGTCTTCAGTGTCACACGATCCTTCACAAATCATTGTAAAATTGTAATTCAATGCTCAGGAAAAATATATTATTACTAACACAGTTAAAAATGGTGGAGCAGTTTAATATTTTTCTGTGGAAACCATGGCACATTTATTTCAGCATTCTTTAATGAACAGAAAGAACAGAACAGCACTTATTAAAAAATACAGCATTTATTGAGTGTTTTTTTTTGTTGCCATGTAAAAGTCTTTACTATAACTTTTGATAAATTCAATTAATACTTGCTGAATAAAAGCACTTATTTAAATAAACAAAATCTTACTGACCCCAAACTTTTGAATGGTAGGATAAAAGCACAAATTCAATTCATCTACTATACTTGTTTTTGGTTCTTAAAATCAAATTATATTGTAAATGAAAAGATGTTGAAACTGTATATAATAGTACAGTGTAGTGGAGCATAGTACAGTGCAGAAGCAGAGGTGAGGAAGTATGGAAAGGTCCATATCTGCGGTACCTGCTGTGTTGGAGGTTACTGGGCGGGCAGCTCCATCACACTTGGTCTCGCAGAGGAAATCATCGATGGAAGGGCTCAGCAAGGGACGGCTCTCTTGTTGCTCACTCACCAGCTGCAAAAATCAAGCGGAAGAGTGTGATGAGATCTACATTAATGCACTTGGCCTCCTGTTCTCCTATTGTTTTAGTTGCAGCCAGCCTCCATTGCACCATGACATCTCTGCATGTGACTGGTTACATATTTACCACCCTTTCAGCTGCTGCCTATTTACAGGACTGAGACGACAATTCTCACCTTGCCCCCCTCTTGCAAACGTCCCTAGCCTGAGGATGTTTCTCCCTCCCTTTCTCACTTAAACAGAGGGAAAGCAGCCCAGTAAAATCACAAATACTACTGTATGTGTCGTGCTTGTTTTTCCATTTCAGAGAACATAATTATGTCTGAAAGTAATTATGACAAGTTGTGAGTCTGTCTTTATAAAGCCCCTCATCGGTGTACTATGTGTACTATGTGACAGAATGTGTGTATGTTCTCTTGAGAGACTGGCTTAGAGGTGGCCCTGTGTCTAACAGAATGGAAAAAAACACATCAATCATCATCTGGTTGTTCTCATAGTGTTCGTTCAGCCATGCCACAGTCTCATCGGAGGAGAGCACTTTTGTGGGCAGTGCATGGCTACAGCAAATCTGCAGTTCCAGCCATATACGTCTCTTGAAAATGTAATCCTTTAGTGAAAAAATTAAAGGGATGCTTGATGCTTAATCTGTCTTCTCAATGTGGATAAATTCATTAATTTCTTACTACATATCACACATACTAAAATAAAGGCTAGTCCATACAAGAGTGGCATTAGAATCTTTTGGATTGAGTTTTAGTCAAATTTTCCTCTGCTGTTGTAAAATGTTATTGTCTAAAGAGGGACCATGTAGTGACCTGAGAAACAGGCTAATCAATTAACTGGATTTGATAATCTCCATTGTTTACATCATTTAAGACATGAAAACTGATCACACCAGCTGAGGCAAACATTTTTAACTGTATATATCTTCAACCCCTTGAACTCCTTCTCCCTACTCTCTCTTTTTTCAGATTCGCTTATGCGACTGGAAGCTACCAAGTTAACGCTTGCTAATGTGTGAATAAGTATGTACTTAGAATTGATGTATGTGAATATATGTGAATATATTATTTTGCTCAGTACTAATTTGATACCTTGGTTTCTGTCTGTGAGGTTGTTTTTAAAAGTCGTATGGTTATGATCATATCCACCAGTAACAACATGCTGGGGGTAAATGTGATGTTTGTATTGAGTGCTTTGAAGGTCAAAAGTCACTAAACACGCTGTGAACGAATGTAGAGGGATAGATACAGAGTTAATGAGTAGGCACTATTTGACGTTTGCTAATAAGCTTGCAAAGGTACACTACCATTCGAAAGTTTGGGGCCAGTAAAATTGTCAAAAATACAGCAAAAACAGTATTACTGTGAAGTATTATTAGATTTTTAATTAACTGTTTTTTATTTTAATATATTTTAAAATTTAATTTATTTCTTTGATGTCAAAGCTGAATTTTCAGTTATTACACTAGTTGTCAGTATTACATTATTCTTCAGAAATCAGAAATGCTCATTTGGAATAGCATTTTAGCTATTTTTAAATGACTTATTATTGTTGAAAACGTTTTTTCTGCTTATAATTTTTGTGGAAACAGTGATGCATTTTTTCAGGATTTTTCGATGAATAGAAATGTCAAAATAACAGCATTCATTTTAACATTATAAATGTTTATGCCATCACTGTTCTTTACATGCATCCTTGCTGAATAAAATAATTAATTTTACTGACCCAAACTTTTGAACAGTATTGTATATGTAGCTTGCAGTTAAGAATTAGGTTGTAGATATGAAATTGAACTGATGAAAGAGTCTGTAACACAAATGTACTCAAGAAAATATAAATATACTGCTCTGAAAGTCACCTGAATTTAATACTTTGAAGCTGTTTTTGCGAACAAATCCCCCTGGGTGAGAATCCCCTCTGTGACCCTGTAAGGATGAAAGGCTAGAACACCCCTGGTTTGCATGTTGCTGAGATTTGTTTCCTCCAAATAGTACAAAGATACTTATTACAGGGCTGTGTCATCAGAACGCTGCTGGTTGTAAAACAGCACACATGTAATTTAATGTCACATTCACATATCCTCTATACGGGCTTAACAACAACAGACACTTCAAGCAACGCTGCTTAAATTAATGGACTGTTGCATGTTTATCATTCAAAGCAAGTTGATTAAAAAACTCTGACCTTATCAAGACTAGCTTAATTGAGGGCTGCTGCATTTCCCCTCTTTTTAATTTGTCCGGGGCTTAAGTAAGACCACAGAGACAAACGTCCAGCAGGAATTAATTTAGAGATGGACATAGAAAAAAAAATAATTAATGATAATGAAAAATTGGATTATACTTCTTTAAGCAAAAACTAGCTGTGCTTGACTATTTTCTGGTGTCTATATTCTACCTTCAAACTGTACGAAGGTTTGTGATCTACTCGTACAGTAGCTTGACAGAAGCTTTGAAATAAATATTGAATATTCATGAATAATACGAGCAGTGTATGTTGGCCAGAGCACTTGGGAGAACATTCCTGTTGTGAGAGTCTGTGCCAGAACGCTGACCCAGCAGTCTTAATTGGGTTGCACAGACATCTCTGGCTCTGCTGGTCTCAGGGAGGAGATTTATTCCTTTGCTGGCTGGAATGTCTGATCTTACCCAAGCTGAACTCCTGCTGTTACAACACCTTGTACATTTTTGATGGAAGTCAAGAAATGATGGTACTCTTGTCTTCAAACTGTTGTCTTTGCCTAGCATCTTTCTTTTGCATTTGATAGAATATGCAGAAATATAGTCTTATTTAACAGCAGATTTGCTGATCAGCAATCATTTGAAGTGTCAGGCTGGATGATGTAACAGCATCTTCCGTTCGGATGTTTTATAATATGGGTGAGATGGATTTGGGGCTCACTTTTAATTTGCCCCTCTAAGGCTTGTTATAAAAGCATAACTTCCTCCGTTGTAAATGCCAGCAGAACACGGGCCATAATGAGAGGGGAAGACTTATTTTGGGCTCTACGGTTTAATTAGATTCCCCTGTATTCAGTTAAAAAACTGTTTTGTACTTTAGGCACAAATGGGTTGCTGACATTAATAGGAATTATTAAGGGGACAAAACTCATTCTTGTAATTAGAGCAGATAACTGCAGTCATGTTGCAGAACAGTTAGACTTTTTATTAACTCTGATTATTTCAATGGAAGACAGGTTGACAGAGGATTTACCTGGCTGTTCTGTCAGAGGGAAAATTTGGTTTGTTTTCAGTTAATGGTGCATTTAGTAGTTTGGTACTAATTGAAAAAAGTTTTATACATTAGGAAATAAATTGTTTCTGTGCAAAGTTATCTGAATAGCATACACTCACATAAGATGAAGACTGTACTCATTAAAGTTTTATATAAAATAGTTTTAATTATGTATGAACATAATTGCTTGCCATGACGTGACAACTAAGTGTCGGAGAGAATCCATGCGCTCATTGGCTGCCGCCTCAGAAGATACGCTAGTAACATAGTGTAGTTTGTTCATTCGAAAAGCGAAAATTAGACAGTTATCGTTTCATATTATTGTGCATAACAAGTTTAACTGTACTGATTGTACGACCTGTAGATGCAACAAAAGTATAAAGCCAGAAGACAGAAAGACCAACAAAAACAAAAATGAGCGCAAACATCGCTACAGCAGAAACAAGATGGAAAGATTTGATGCTGAAGAAAATCCTAAATAGTGATGCCCAAGTTGCTTATTTTTGTTGGAAATTAATTATTGTTTAAACTGCCCTCTAAAACTTACTACTATCCATGTAATTTAATGTAAAACTTACAATAGATGGCTGAGCAGAAGCTAACACTAGCTAAAGAACTAATTGCACCTTTTAAGTATGTTTTCACACACTTATTTTATTTAATCTAATTACAGATTCTTATTACAGATATTCGAAAATACTCTTTATAGGTATCCTAAACTTTGCAATCTGTTAATAAATAATCATTCACACCTGTATAAATTTCAAACAAATTTCTGCACATGCGCACAGCATCGGTCATTGCCAGGGACGCCGTGATGGTTTGTGGGCCCCCTGAACAGTATATTTACTCTGGCCCCCCCTCGGTAAAAACCGGGTGGGGGGTGGTTGGGGTCCTCTCGGTAGAAATCGTGTTCCGGTGGGTGGGGGTCTCCCTTGGTAGAAATCGTGTACAAAAAAACCTGCGGTCCGGGCGTGGGGGGTTGTCCCCCTCGTTTGAAATCACATTCCCCCTCTAACGTCGAGCCCTTGGAATCATCCTAAACTCCCCCTGCCCTCTTACAGCGGCCCTGGTCATTGCATTCAGAATAAAGCAGAGAAAACCACTAAAGGCAGTAATTAGCATTTTACCTTGTTGAAATATCTAAAAATGTGCTGTTGTTTTTTAAACTGTTTTTCTGAATTATTATAATAGGTTGCATGTAAACATAGGTGCAGGTAGATTTGCCAACTGACCGTTTGCAAAGAGCTTGATTGACAGGCGATCTGACCAATCAGAATGCGAATGTTATCTGCTGCTGTTGCTATCCGCCATCTTGCCCGACAGCTATGGCCTGTCTCCATAGAAATCCATGTTAAAACAGGGTAAAACTAAATATAAAAATGTGCAGAGGGTTAAGCTATGCTGTTATTGGCTGCCACAGTAACGGTAATAAGCTAAGGAATTCCTTTAAAGTACTTGTTTTGCGTACCAGAAAATCTGTTATGTCTGGCGCTATATGCATGGCTTACAGAGCTTAAGTTAAAATACTGAGTGTGAAATAATAAAATAATATGTTAAAACGTGTGCTCTTATTATTCTGTGGACAAAATCCCATGAACTTTGCCCAGATCGGGAGCTGTATATTCACATGTGCACTCATCTGTTTTCAATGCAGCTAAACTCATGTCATCTTCCCACTCATCAAACTATGACAGGTCCTTAACTGCAAAAATACCGTCACTGTGACACTCTAAAGTGATGAAACTATGGTGCCA